AGAGGTTCAGGGTGGGCCTCACTTCAAAATTCAGAGTCAATGCCGACAGATACCCCACGCCTATGTCACGTGTCCACTACGCATTCTCTCGACTTACAGATCGTGCCTCAGACGTCGCTCTAGATAACGTCAACGAAGGGATCTATCCGGATTGGGTAGATCTAATCGAAGAACTAAAGCTCAACTTCGGTGATGCTGACCCGGAGTACTCTGCCATCTGCCGTCTCGTAAAGACGAGGCAAACGCACCGACCCTTCTCCGAATTCTATCCGGAGTTCAAGCAGACCGCTAGAAGAACGCCATTTCGGGACCATGGTCTTAAGGGACTACTCCGACTTGCACTATCTAAGGAACTCACAGAGAAGCTGGCCATGGTTGACGTCAGAGACATGTCATATGAAGCCTTCGTCCAAGAGTGCACTCGGCAGGACAACCTACTACGCGCCACGCTGTCACGACAGACAACCAGGTCATGGAAGCCGCCTATGAGTTCAACTGTCTCAGTTCCGGCCCCCGCCCGTCCCGTCGCGCCTGCCCCTGTTTCCTATGACCCTATGGACATAGATCACTCGGCCCGCAGAGCCTCCAACGAACGCGAAGCCGAACGAGAACGTCGACGCAATCTAAGCCTTTGTTACTACTGCGCGGGCCCGGACCACAGAGCCAATGCATGCCCAGAAAAGCCAAAGCCAAAGCCACGGAGCAACCTTCGTACCGTCTCTTCTACGCCTACCATAGCGTCCTCGACTCCGGTGTTCACTCCAGCAACCTCGCGAGCAACTACACCCGTTGCCTCGGCCTCCCTCGCCCCTCTTCCTCCGTCCAGCAGTTGTGTCGATGCAAAGTCGTTAAACGAAGCAACCCTGAACTAAGTCGCGTTCAGGGGACTAAGAAGAGGTTAGCTGCTACTGATATAGTAGATAGCCCAGCAATACGATTAGGTTCTATTTCTCTACATTCAGCGGACCTTCCTCTTGACTCCAAGTGCCTCTTAATTGAGTGTAGCGTTGGACAATTTAAATGTCAAGCCCTAATCGACTCTGGCTGTTCTGCAGTGGCATGTATCGGCGAAGCTTTTGCGCAACTCTTCCCTCATGAAAAATTAGAAAGTCAAAGAACTATGGTAGGCTTTGACAATCAGACCTCTACAACAACCCACATCGCTAAAGTTCCCCTGTCCTCTGCACCTTCTGGTATCCATCGAGAAGTCCTGTCAATGTTCGTCGTCCCTGGACTAAAATATGATATTATTCTTGGAATGCCCTGGCTTAAACGACATAATCCGACGATAGATTGGGTACTAGAGACCATTACATACAATACAGAACACTGCCGCAATCATTGCCTTCGGAAGAACGGAGGATACCCTATTACTTTTGAAGCTGTGCGAAGAGCACAGAACAACGAACCCCGAGTCCAGAGACAAATGAAAGCCATGGATACAACTGCAACGCCAATTGCAATAGGAGCAATAGCCTTTAATCACCTGAGCAAGCGAAGAGACTGTGAAGTCTTTGCAGTGTCATTGAGAGACATCGAGAAAGCCCTGAAACCCAAAGAAACCATAGATCCCCGGACCAGACTTCCTGAGCAATACCACGAGTTCCTGTCCCTGTTTGATAAAGCTGCTGCTGACAAGCTTCCACCACACCGCCCTGGAGTAGATCACAAGATTGAGTTATTACCGAATACTGAACCACCGTCCGGAGCCCTATACGGCATGTCTAGAAACGAATTAGAGGTCCTAGACAAAACACTAAAGGACTACCTATCAAAGAACTTCATTCGCGCATCCAAGTCCCCCGCTGCTGCCCCAGTCCTATTCGTCAAGAAACCCGGAGGAGGTCTACGGTTTTGTGTAGATTACCGGGGTTTAAACGCTATCACAGTCAAGAACAGATACCCGATTCCCCTGATTCAAGAGACCCTAGACAAGCTCTGCAAAGCCATGTGGTACACCAAGTTAGACATTGTTGCTGCCTTCCACAGAATCAGAATGGCCCACGGGGACGAATGGAAAACAGCCTTCCGCACACGTACAGGCTTATACGAATGGAACGTGGTCCCCTTTGGCCTCTGCAACGCTCCAGCCTCCTTCCAGAACTACGTCAATGATGCCCTGGGAAAGGATATCCTAGACCGATTCGTCTCGGCGTATCTTGACGACATCCTAATCTTTAGCAACTCGCTAAAAGAGCACCGCCAACACGTGAAGACAGTACTAGGCAGATTAGCCGTCGCTGGACTACAACTCGACATAGGAAAATGCGAATTCGAAGTTCACGAGACGAAATACTTAGGAATGATCATCCAGAGCCGTTCAGAAGATGGCAAACCCGGACAAATACGCATGGACCCAGAGAAGATAGCTGCGATTCGAGATTGGGAGAAGCCCAATAATGTGAAAGACATACAAAGTTTCATAGGATTTGCGAATTTCTATCGTCAATTTATTAAAGGATTCTCAAAGATAGCCTTACCCCTGACCAAGCTTACCCGAAAAGACGTCCCTTTCAACTGGGGAGAGGAAGCCAGAAAAGCGTTTCAGACGCTGAAAGACATGTTTACAAGCTCCCCAGTCCTACAGCACTTCGACCCCGACTTACCCTGCACTGTGGAGACCGACGCCTCAGACGACGCGTGCGGAGGAGTCCTGTTTCAGCCTAATAACGAGGGGATCCTGCAACCTGTGGCCTACTTCTCGAAGCGACACGCCCCAGCCGAGAGCAACTACGAGATTTACGACAAGGAATTAATGGCTATAGTCCGTGCTTTTGAAGAATGGCGCCCGGAGCTGGAAGGGTCCCAAGAACCCGTACAAGTTGTAACAGATCACAGGAACCTCGAATACTTCATGTCGTCTAAACAACTATCCCGCCGACAAGCCCGTTGGAGCGAGTTCCTCTCTCGTTTCGACTTTGTGATTAAGTACCGCCCTGGGTCACAGTGCCGCGCGGATGGATTATCCCGCAGACCACAAGATAAAGCCACCGACGCTAACGATGATAGAAAGAAGTTCCTCGAGCAAGTAGTCCTGAAACCGAAGAATCTAGACCCCCAGATATCAGAACCTATTCCTGTCTGTCCAATTAGACCTACAAGAGTCCTACGCCGCCACGAGAGATTACCTGAGTTAGGAGAAAGCCCTGACGCAATCACAGATAACACCACAGCCCTGCGCACAACAAACCCACAGCCCCGAACCATCCTAGAAGAAGATATCACTGCCGCATACCAGAATCTTGCCCGAGAAGATCCTTGTCGAGTAACTCGCCAACAAGTCCTGTCCGGGGTCAGAAGGTCTCTTATGGTCACGTTAGCCGACTGTTCAGTAGAGAACAACAAACTATACTACCCCGACGACGCCTATGGATTCCCGAAAACGAAGAACTAAGACTCCGCTGCATTAACGAATGCCATGAACAGCCGATGACTGGTCACCCAGGCCCCGCAAAGACCTACGAGATATCCTGCAACGACAATTCTATTGGCCAAAGATGATAGACTCAGTGAAGGAACAGCTAGCCAAATGTCCTATATGCTGTCGCACAAAACCCTCTCGCGAGCGCCAAGGTCAACTGCAGGCACTGGAGCCGCCCAAGAAACGGTGGCAACACCTGGCTATGGATTTCGTCACAGACCTCCCTGAATCCAACGGCATTTTCCCCGGCGCCACAAGCATTTGGGTCTTGACGGACCGATTGACTAAGGAGAGACACCTAGCGCGCCCTGCCACAGCAGAAACAGAACATCTGGTCAGGATGTTTATTCACTTTGTCGTTCGCAGCCATGGCCTCCCCGAGTCAATAGTGTCCGATAGAGGTCCACAGTTTGTCAGTGAATTCTGGAATAGCCTATGTAAAAGGCTAGGTATTAAAGCGAAACTATCCACTGCACATCACCCAGAAACAGACGGACAGTCAGAACGAGTCAATCAAGCAATGGAGACTTACCTACGAAGCTATGTCAACTATATGCAGGACGACTGGGCCGAATGGATCGCATTGGCCGAATTCGCTATGAACAACTATAAGTCAGAATCCATAGGCATGTCCCCGTTCTTCGCCAACAAAGGCTTCAATCCCAGGATGAGCTTCGATCAAGCTGAGACCCCCCTCGACCCCCGTGCAGAAGATATCTCGACATTCATGAAAGAACTCTTAGACCATTGCCACGCAGAACTAGTTTGGAGCCAAGCGAAAACCACAGATGCAGCAAACAGAAACCAGAGACGACACCCTGCCCCAGTATACCATGAAGGAGATAAAGTATGGCTGAACGCCAGAAACATCCGTACACGACGACCATGCAAGAAACTCGATGACAAATGGATTGGCCCATTTGAGATTAAACGAACCATAGGATCCACAGCCTGCGAATTGGCCCTGCCCTCGTCCCTGAGAATATTCCCCATTTTCCACGTTGCCCTGTTAAGACCATGCCATGCAGACGTTCCCCCGAGACCCATAGTGGGTAATGACATATCCGATGAAACAGAATGGGAAGTCGAAACCATTCTAGAGGGTAAGCTATAGACGTTGCCTGCTGAGCATATGGCTGGCCACAAGCATTTCCTGCGCTATGGCAGAGAAAATGCTCCATCCATCACACTTTAAGCTTATACTTTCTTCCTTAACTACTCTTGTCTTTAGCTTACTCTCTTTATATTAACTTGCTTAAGCCTTATTAATAATCTCTTTAATCTCTTTTATATATTCCTTAATATAAGAGCAGTTCCGCTATTTATAATTCCCTTAATAAGCAAAATATTTTAATTATTATAATAAGTACTTTTAAGGTAAGGTTATATTTTCTTAAAATTAAAAGTAATATTTATATATTATAAATTATTAAGATAGTATAAATAATAATATTGCTTAAAGATAATAAAAATATTACTTAATAAGGATTCTTTCTTAAGAAGTTATTA